TATGGAAATAGTTGGACAGGCTGGATTTGTTTCCACTGGAGTTTAGTAGAGTGAAGGGTAACTTGATTTAAGTGTATAAGATTCTGTATTGTCTTGACAAAGTGGATGTGGAAAGGATGTTTCCTCTTGTGGATCAGTCCAAAACTAGGTGGCACTGTTTTAAACTTAGGTATCACCTTTTCGGGACAGAGATAAGGAGAAATATTTTCTCTCAGAGATCTGTGCGACTTTGGAACACTCTGCTTCAGAAGGTAGTGGAGGTGGGAATGATTGAATATTTTTAAGGCAGAGATGGATAGATTATCAGGGATGTAATGGGATATCAGGATTAGATGGGAATGTGGATTTCAAAGTACAAACAGATCAGCAATGACATTATCGAATAGCAGAGCAAGCTTGAGAGGCTGAATGGTCCATTTCTGCTCCTAATTTTGTATGTTTGTATGTAAAGAATTTGAATTTATATAGTACCGTTCAGAATTGCAATATATCTTAAAGTGTCTTACAGCCAGTTAATTGCTTTTGAAGTGATACTTACTTTTGCAATGTAAGGAAACATGATAGCCAACTTTTTCAGGGCGAAATGCCACAAACAGCAATGCAATAAATACCATAGATATTTTTTACATGATGTTGATTGAAGGATAAATATGAACAAGGACACTGGGAACATATTCCCTGCTGTTCTATGAAATAGTGTCATGAGATTTTTTTACCCTATCGGAAGACAGATAGAGCCATAGTGTTACCTTTCATAGAACATAGAACATTACAGCGCAGTACAGGCCCTTCGGCCCTCGATGTTGCGCCGACCTGTGAAACCAATCTGAAGCCCATCTAACCTAAACTATTCCATTATCATCCATATGTTTATCCAATGACCATTTAAATGCCCTTAAAGTGGGCGAGTCTACTATTTTTGCAGGCAGGGCATTCCACGCCCTTACTACTCTCTGAGTAAAGAACGTACCTCTGACATCTGTCTTATATCTATCACCCCTCAATTTAAAGCTATGTCCCCTCGTGCTAGCCATCACCATCCGAGGAAAAAGGCTCCCACTGTCCACCCTATCTAATCCTCTGATCATCTTGTATGTCTCTATCAAGTCACCTCTTAACCTTCTTCTCTCTAACGAAAACAGCCTCAAAACCCTCAGCCTTTCCTCATAAGACCTTCCCTCCATACCAGGCAACATCCTGGTAAATCTCCTCTGCACCCTTTCCAATGCTTCCACATCCTTCCTATAATGCGGTAACCAGAACTGTACGCAATACTCCAAGTGCAGCCGCACCAGAGTTTTGTACAGCTGCAACATGACCTCATGGCTCCGAAACTCAATCCCTCTACCAATAAAACCTAACATACTGTACGCCTTCTTAACAACGCTATCAACCTGGGTGGCAACTTTCAGTGATCTATGCACATGGACACCGAGATCTTTCTGCTCATCCACACTACCAAGAATAAGAGAAAGTAACCTGACAGTGCTGTAGCACCTCGATACTCCACTGACATGTCAGCATAATATGCATATGATAAAAGGGTCCCATATCAAGCACAGAGTCTTAATTTGAGTACTTCATTTTCCATTTTAAACAACTTTGGTATGCACTCTGAATGCCTATGGAATGGCCCAAACCAATATAGGGCCTGGCATACTTCAGAACGATAATGGACATGCATTTCCCACCTCCTGAGCTTTGCGATGACAAAGTATTGTTGAATTTGAGTTGTTGCCTATTTCATAAATTATGATTGAGGCAAATAATTAATACGGAGAGGAAAGAAACACCTCACTGTTCTGTGTTCTGTAAATACTGTCCTGAACTAGCCTCCTGGCAACAAATTGAATTTGAGACACATGACATTTGTTCACCGAGCTAGGTACGCATGATTAGCTGCTGCAGTGACATGGTGCAATGGAGGAATTGTATTAATTCGTTCACTGAATCAAAAACGAATGAACACTCCCAAGCTGCACTAAGTCTCTGTAGCACCCAATTTCTCCTGAGTGATAAAATGTCATATGGCAGACAATACCTCCATGAGTTGCCATATGACTAACCCTTCTCCTCAGGCATCTCACTGGCAACGATTAGTCTAATTTTTCAATATGCCCATCCCAGGGTAAAGTGCTGTACCAAGGTAATATAATTCATAATTTATTTCATCTGCTACTCTAGTATTACACTGCTTTAATAGTTCTGTAGAACTCCAATGCAAACACTGAAAAGTAACTTCCTGCTCTTAAAATGCTGGTCAGATAATCAAAATGGGCACCAAGAAAGGCTGAGGTCGAAGCAATCAATCCTGAGGGTGGTGGACATTGGCCAGATTTTCATAAAAAAAGGAGAAACTGCAATGACAAGTACTACAGTGGGGGCACTGCAAATGAGACACACCGATTTCTCTACCCAATTCTTCCATCTGTGATGCTGCTGATTTTATGTTAATTTACTTTAATGACCAGAAAGTTAGGAATACCTTAAATTAGAATGCTGACCCTTCTGTTTGATTCTCTGCTCAGTAATCCCCTCAAGCAGAAGGCTCCCTACCAAAAGCACAGCCTCACAATATTTATTGTCTATGCCTGAAGAATTGAAAGAAATGATGTTTTGATTACCTATTAAAGGGCAATATGGAAGCAAGAATTTCTCACTACCTGTAAAGCATCAGGAATAGAGAAATGGAGGAATTGCATGTGCAAAAACCATGCAATCTGAAAGAAACTGATGCATGTAGAGTGAAGTTTCTAGTGAAAAGGATAATGATTCAAGAAGGTGAATATTGTAGCAGACTGTGAGAGAGGCTAGAGCCTGTGGAGTCTCTGAGTAAATGGATAATGAGTCAAAGCATGAGCCATCAGCTGCAGCACAAGTTTTTCATTATTCCATTGGTAACCTTTCAGTCCCATGACGTTTGTTCTATATCCTTTTTACAATCGTGCTTTCTGCCTCTAATGCAACTTTTATCATTGAATCATAGAGTCATACAGCATGGAAAAAGACCCTTCCATCCAACCAGTCCATCCCAAACTAAACTAGTCCCATCTGCCTGCTCCTGGCCCATATCCCTCCAAATCTTTCCAGTTCATGTACTTATCCAAATGTATTTTAAGCATTGTAAATGTATCCATATCCATCCGTTCCTCAGGAAGTTCATTCCACATGTGAACCACCCTCAATGTAAAAAAATTGCCCCCCATGTCATTTTTAAATCTCTCTCCTTTCACCTTAAAAATGTGCCCCCTAGTCTTGAAAGACCCCATCCTAGCGAAAAGACAACTACCATTAATTCTATATATACCCCTCATTATTTTATAACTTTCACGTTCTCTCTCCCCCATTTCTGTCTCTAGCCACGCTTCAACAAAAGAGAACAAAGATGTCAAAGAGCTGGGGAAATACCCTAATCCTGCAGAGCGATGAAGAACTGTACCTAAATGTAACATGAAAGATATTGAGTCTTTTCTGCCCTAATACTGACTACTACCTGTTCTAATGATAAATTTTGTGGTCCCGAACGTTAGAATTATGATGCTGATGACATTGCTTGCAATTTTCCCATTGTAATTACACAGTTGCCATCATAGGCAGCTTCTACATTGTCAGAATCCTGCCAGTTAAAATTGCATGGGTGGGAATAAGTTGAGAATGTGTCATGGCTATTTGTCCACAGTTCTGTCCTGGTCAGGCCACAGGGAGTGGGTTTAAAATCAAGCCTTCTGTTTATATCTCCTCTCCTTCTTTCTCCTGTATTTCTTGTCATTCTTCCTTTCTATTTATTTATCTCCATCATTTGCCATTGTTAATTCTCTCAGTTCTAGTTTACTCATTTCTCTTACTTATTCCTATCTCTTATTTATACCTGTCTCCTAATTCTATCTTTTGTTTCTGTGTGCTTTTCTCCAAAGAACCAGAGGGGAGATGAGGAGAAAGCTTTTTACTGAGCAACTTGTGACCTGGAATGCACTATCTGAACAGGTCGGAAAAGCAGATTGAATAATATTCACCAAAATGGAGTTGGATAAATACTGAAAAAAGATTTGTGTGGCTATGGGGAAGTGCAGAACAGTGGAAAGAATTGGATAGTTGCTTCTCAATTCTGACACAGACACAGTGATCCCTTTAGCTGCAGTATGATGCTACCTGTCTCTCCCATTTGTTTCATCTTTATTCTGCTTCATATTTCTCCCTCTCCAATTGTTCTTCCAGCTGCTGTTATCTCCCTTCTTCCAACTGTCCTGTTTTTCTGTCTTTTTTTTTTACCTCATTCTTATTGATATTTTCCCTCTTCCTCCTTATATATCTCCATAATTCTCCTTGATTTGTGTTTTTTTCTACTTATCTGTACCTCTGGTCTACCTCTACCATCGCTTCTATATATCAGATATCTTCAGTTATACTGAACTAATTAGAATAGAATTTGTTCCATTACTTTTTCCAATCTGATGGATATACCGACTCAGTTTGATACCATGTTAATGTATCCATTAGCCTGAGACTGGAAGACTCCAGCATTCTCAGTTAACCCATACTGCCCAGTCACCGTATGAACCTGGAAGCCTTTATTGCTGCAACCCTAAATTTTACTTAATTTTGACAGGACCTTTCCTTTAAAGCCTGTGCTGGCTATGAATTAATAGGCGGACAGACTCAAACTGTTGTTAGTTGGGATGTTAAAATAACCCTAATCACGTATTAATCATAAAAGAGACGCACCACCAATTTCGCTTTGAAATGGATGTGAACATATATGTATGCGAGATATTTACATAAAAGGTGCGTAGATTCAAACTCGTAAATGTATATGCCGGAGCACCAACCCATCACATATATTCATTCATATAGTCCACGTATGAACACACCGAACTACCGGAGAGTTCACATCACGCAAATATCGATTCTAAGTATAACCGTCCTTCCCTATCTCCCCTAATTACTGCTGCTCACTGCAGGTAGCGCTGGGTCCATAATGCCAACAAGAAAGGGCGACTCACCAGATCTTTTGATGTTCCCAACCTTTTAAGACCATCCAGAGGGAGCAAATCTGCCGAATCTTTATGAATAAACTGTGTGGCTTGCTTTAGACGCCTCTGCTGGTGCAAGATAGCTTTGTGCCTGATTTCCATTTCATTTTTCTTCAGATCGGACATTGCTACTGCATTTATTTCGCTCTAGTTTGCGGTGTTCAGTGCCTTCCGCGCTTTTGCCCTGTCCTAATCCTCTCCGCTCGCACTTTGCTCTGCAGCTCGCTGGCTCTGGGTTTTTTTTTCACCCCCCCACAAGGGTGTCTGCCTGCAACATACGTCACGATCAACACATTTCCTGAAATAACAAAACAAATCACCAGAAGAAATCTGCAGGAATACAGAAAGCAGCAACTGAAAAAAAAAATACTGAGGGAGGCGAAAGGAGAAGGTAAAATGCTACCAACACCTTACCGATTAGGGTCAGGGTTCAGAATTGTTTTCAACACTGACTGAAAAGGGTAATGAACTACTTCCAGTCAAACTGCTATGTCCAGGCAGAATCAAGGCTTGCCAAAGGGAAACTCGACCTGAATAGTAAATAAATCATTAAAAACAGAGAGGTCTTTGCGTCTTATTTTACATCCACGTTGTTATTTATAAATTTCCAGCTGATTTGGAAATTGGTTGAATATTTTCGAGATTTTACTTGGGAGTCACAAAACTGACTTTCAGAAAACAACGACTGGTCTGATTAAGACATATATCTCACGTAACAATGCAGCCTAGGTAGCAACGTGTAACTGTAAAATCTTTAGCATTTCGAATCATTCCCTCCTAGGATTCGTTTCGGGCAAATTGCTTGCTGTTCCGGTGTTTTTCTCAAATTATTTGTTAAACTGTGAATTTCGCAGCCGATTTCATTTGAACGTAAATCCTAAAAATCTGTTTCGATTTATTCATTAATTTAAATATTGTTAAGTTCCATTGTGAAAAGACGTTGTTTGACTCCCATGGTCTTCCAGCCTGATACTTGGAAGTCATTGAATAGACACCACATACAAATATAGTTTTGCTGTGGCTCCATCAGTTTCAGTACTATTGAGAGGCAAATGAAATTTGATGTGTTTCGTTTTACAGAAGGAGAGAGAGAAATCAGTTCTTTGTTGACTATTAACAGCACTTTCAGTGAACAGACTACACGACGGCGCATCCTGCCGTTTGCAATGCGATACGGTTCCCAAATGGATAGTTTCTCGTTAATGGAACTTCACATCAACTGAAAAGAATATTTTACAGTAAGAGTTAGCTTCCTTTCAACGCATCATATCAAGATAAATGGATTTAACCTTTTATAAAATACTGATTAGGCCTCAGCTTTGTTATTGCTCTCAGTCCTGGCACCAAACTTTAGTAATTCTTTAAGAACGTAAAGGCCTTGGAGACTGTGTGAGGAGACTGGGATTGTTCTCCTGCCTGCAAGGAAAATTAATAGCTGTGATAGAGGTGATTAAAATCATGATCAGATTTGAGACTTAAAACGATCGCAGTGACAGAAGATAACACAGTGTGGAGCTGGAGGAACACAGCAGGCCAGGTAGCATCAGAGGAGCAGGAAAGTTGACGTTTTCTGAAGAAGGATCCCGACCCGAAACGTCAGCTTTCCTGCTCCTCTGATGCTGCCTGGCCTGCTGAGCTCCTCCAGCTCCACGCTGTGTTGTCTCTGACCCCAACACCTGCAGCTCTTGCTATCTCCCAGTGACAGAAGGGTCAGCAATCAGTGGGCAGAGATTGAAGATGATTGAAATAAAAATTAGATGCGATATGGGCAAAATGTGATCTAAAATGTACTGTCAGAACGGGTGTTAAAAGCAGATTTAATTGTAATTTTCAAAAAGGGACATCAGTGGATAGTTGGAGGAGGAAGGTTTGCAGGGTTACAGGCAGATAACAAGGGAGAGGGACTAAGTGGATAACTGCAAAAAGATCGTACAGTTACAAAAAGAAGAATGTTGTATCATTTTTTAATTCAATAACAGAATTAGTAACTGTTGTACAACAAAAACATAAATTAACCATATATATTTAGAGCAGAGAAAGTAGTCATGGAATTATTAGCACTTACTTTCCATAGCACTGCATCACAAGATCCTGATTATAATAAATGGGAGCAACAGCAGGCTTTTCAACTTAAAGAGCCTTCTCTGCCATTCTATAAGATCATGGTTGATCTGAATGTGGCCTTACCTCTACTTTGTTGCCCATTCCCCATAACCTCCATCTAAATAGTGTCACACATTTGTAAACATATTGCTATTTCACAAGTTCACCTGTCTTGAATGCCCAGCACAGCATAATGTCATGTCACTATGGGAATGTCACATGTTGGAAAGCCTTCAAACAATTGAAAACATTAATTTTTATCAAACAACAGCAAAGGAAAAGGAAAAACAAAACAAACAGAAAGAGCTCCATTTGCTTCTGGGAACAAACAGGAGAATTTGCCTTTCAAATGGCAACAAATTAAAGTCAATGAATGACCAGTACAACCAGCTCACATTATTGGAACTGTGTGCCAATTATCTTCTGTGTGGCTTGATGCACCTAACATTGCATCATTGTATCATGGTGAAAGTGATGATAGGATTATGCAGCACAATTTGTCTACAGTGTACTGCAAGGTTCCCCAGACTGATCCAAACATTGGCATCTCACTGGAACCTCTACTGCACCATGGCCCTGCTGGAAGAGTGGGCTGCATTGTATGTAAGATAACACAGTGTGGAGCTGGATGAACACAGCAGGCCAAGCAGCATCAGAGGAGCAGGAAAGCTGACGTTTCGGGTCTGGACCCTTCTTCAGAAATGATTTCTGTAGAAGGGTCCAGACCCGAAA